TTCCGCCAAGCGTTTTTAATAGTAACACTGCAGTTACGGACCTGAGAATTTTACACGCAGACGCGGCATAATCCACTACACGTGAGAAAAATACTGGCTTCCAAAACGAACTTCCAAATCTCTCAGAGTGTCTGTCTATCCGACCCCAGGTCACCTCATTGTCTGCCCGGGCTGGGTGGGCCAACTGGGAGCCGGCGGTAAACCGTCAACCAGGTTACCGTCGGAACCCTCGTGGAGCTCTGAACACGCAGATCAGTGCTCAGATTACGAGGGGAGCGTGTTCTCGAATACCAGTTTCTTGAAAACTCGCAAACATTTCTTTCGGGTTCTCTACGACGTCGGTTCCTCCACGTCTTTCGACAATAATATTGCAGCTACAGGCCTGAGAATCTTACACGCAGACGCGGCATAATCCACTACACGTGAGAAGAGTACTGGTTTCCAAAACGAACTTTCAAATCTCTCACAATCTTCGAAAAAAAAACGACCCCAGGTTGACACATTGTCCGCCCGAGCCGGGTGGGCCAACTGGGAGCCCGCGGTAAACCGTCACCCAGGTTACCGCCGGGACCCTCGTAGAGCTCTTAATACGCAAAAAAAAAACGTATATTACGAGGAGAGAGTGTTCTCGGATGTCAGCTTGAAAACTCGCAAAATAGTTTTTTTTTCTGATTTTATACGACGTGGATTCCAGCTACAGACCTGAGAATTGAACAGGCAGACACGGCATAACCCACTACACGTGGGAAAAATACTGGTTCTCAAAACGAAGCGTCAAATCTCTCACAATCTTCCCAAAAACGACCACAGGTCGACACATTGCCCGCCCGGGCCGGGTGGGCCACCTAGCTCCACCCCGCGCCGAAATTCCTATAGCTCATCGAGTGGGAGCCGGCGGTGCACCGTCAACCAGGTTACCGCCGGGACCCTCGTAGAGCTCTTAACGCGCGAAGTAGTGCTCAGAATACGACAAGAAATCTCACTTGAATATCAGTTCAAAACTGCAAACATGTATATTCTTAGTGTTACACGAAGTTGGTTCCGCCAAGTGTTTAACACTAATACTTCAGCTACGGACCTGAGAATTCGACAGGCTGACGCGCCTTAATATGCTACCGGTGCAGGAAATACTGAAGCTGTGTAGCTGCCTTTCTGCTTCATTTGAGTTCACGAGTCCATTTTGATCTGGGAAATACATCCCGATCGCCGACGCTTCCCCCTAATTTTCGAGAGCTGCGCTGCAACTACAGCCCTAAGGATTTCACCATCAAACGCGCCATGATCGACTACCAAAAATAAAAATCTGGATTTCCATAACGAACTGTCAAATCTCGCACAATCTTCGAAAAAACGACCCCAGGTTGACACATTGTCCACCCGAGCTGGGCGGGCCAACTGGGAGCCGGCGGTAAGCCGTCAACCAGGTTACCGACGGGACCCTCGTAGAGCCCTTGAAACGCGAATTAGTGCTCAGAGTACGACGAGAGAGCTTACTTCAGTATCAGCTTAAAAACTCGAAAATATATATCTTTCGCTGTTATACGAGTTGGTTCCGTCACGTGCGCTAATGGTAATATGACAGCTACAGAGCTGACAATTTCACAGGCTGACGCGCCACAACCTACTACAGGTACAGAAAACACTGGAGATGTGTAGCTTGCTCCCTGCTTGAGATAAGTGCACGAGACCATTCTCATCTCGGAAAATGCATCCCGACGGCCGATGGTTCCTCCACTTTTGTGGCAGTAATATTGGAGCTACAAACCTGAAGATTTCACACGCAGACGCGGCACAACCCACTTCACGTTACAAAAAAATCCAGATTTCCAAAACGAACTTTCAAATCTCTCACAATCTCCAAGAAGCCGACCCCATGTCATCACATTGTCCGCCCAGGCAGGGTGGGCCAACTGGGAGCTGGCGGTAAAACCGTCAACCAGGTTACCGCCGGGACCCTCGTAGAGCTCTTGAAACGCGAATTAATGCTCAGAGTACGACGAGAGAGCTCACTGCAGTATCGGCTTAAAAACTCGAGAATTTATTTCTCGGTGTTATATGAGTTGGTTCAGTCAAGTGTGCAAATAATAATAATATTACAGCTACAGAGCTGACAATTTCACAGGCTGGCGCGCCAGAACCTACTACAGGTACAGAAAATACTGGAGATGCGTAGCTTCCTGCTTGAGTTAACTGCACGAGACCATTCTCATCTCGGAAAATGCATCCCGACGGCCGATGGTTCCTCCACTTTTTTGGCAGAGATATTGGAGCTACAAACCTAAGGATTTCACACGCAGACGCGGCACAACCCACTTCACCTTACAAAAATCAAAATTTCCAAAACGAACTTTCAAATCTCTCACAAATCCCACACACAAAAACAAAAACAAAACAACAACAACAAAAAACATATTGTCCACCCGGGCCGGGTGGGCCAACTGGGAGCCGGCGGTAGACAGTCAACCTTGGCTACCGCCTGGAAGTCGTAGAGCTTCCTTGCGATATACATGAATGGGATGCGGGCGCGGCAATCTCGAATTCCGCGCGCGCGAGGGCGCGGTGTCATGGAGGAGGACGTGGAGGAGAAGGAGGAGTGAGGAGGAGAAGGAGGTGGAGGAGGCTGAGTAAGATACGGAGGAGGAGGAGGAGAAGGAGCAGGAGGACGAGAAGGAGAGGGAGGAGGAAGAGAAGGATGACGAGCACGAGGGGGAAGGGTGGAGGGGGAGAAGGGGACGATGATGATGATGATGATGATGATGATGATGATGATGATGATGATGATGATGATGAGCAGGAGGATAAGGAGGAGGAAGAGAAGAAGGAGCAGGAGAAAGAGGAGAAGGAACAGATGGAGGAGGAAGAGGAAGAGGAGGAGGAGAAGGAAAGGGAGGAGGAGGAGCAGGAGGAGGAAGAGAAGGGGAGAGGAAGAAGAAGTAGAGGAGAAGGAGGAGGCGGAGGAGAAGGAGGCGAAGGAGGAGGAGAAGAACGAGGAGGGTTAGGAGCAGCAGGAAAAGGAAGAAAGCGGGGCAGGAAGGAGAAGGAGAAGGAGCAGGCTACAGCTCGAACTGAGAACCAAACAACATAGATTGTTTCCCACCAAATATTGCAGAGAGGTCAGTTGTAGTCCCACCAGCCCTTTGGGCGTGAGTGGTTTAGGGAGTCCGCTCTGTTCTCAACCCCCTTCTTCCCTTTCGGGGAGGGGTTTACCCCTCCCCCTACCCCCTCCCCCTGGGCCTGGAGAGGGCGTTCCGCGGGTCGTTGGAGGGGTCTTTTTCGACTCCTGGGAGGGCTAAAATTCGACACCCCTCACGAGGATTCTGGCCCCGACGGGGGGGGAAGAAAAGTGCTCGCCCCATCTGTGATCGATCGCCCGACAGATGGCCCCAAGATTCCTCCCAGACCCCTCCCAAAGAGCCCCAAGAGGCCCCAAGAGGCCCCAAGAGGCCTCCAAGAGGCCCCCAAGATGCCCCCAAGAGGCCCCCAAGAGGCCCCAAGAGGCTCCCCCGAGGCACCCAAGACGCTCCTGGAAGCCCCTGGAGCCGCCAAGAGGCCCCCAAGACGCCCCAAACGGCCTCCAAGAGGCTCCCAAGAGGCCCGAAGAGGCTCCCCCAAGGCACCCAAGACGCTCCTAGAAGCCCCTGGGGCCGCCAAGAGGCCCCCAAGACGCCCCAAAAGGCCTCCAAGAGGCTCCCAAAAGACTACTACTACTACTACTACTACTACTACTACTACTACTACTACTACTACTACTACTACTACTACTACTACTACTACTACTACTACTACTACTACTACGACTACGACTACGACTATTACTACTACTATATCGTCGTCGTCGTCGGGTGCGTCGTCGTTGTTAGGATCATCGCTGTGGTCGTCGTCTCCGCTAAATCCCTCTTGCCTCCCACCGCTTTCTCTCCCTCCTCCTCCGCCTCGTCCTTCTCCCGCTCCCACCACAAGGAGGATGTACAAGGAGGCGAGAGGAAGGAGGAACAGGGGAGATATGCGGGGGCAAGCGGACACACGCCTGAAAAACACGACTGTCGGCATGCTTCGCAAGAGTTGCTGTTTTGAGATGGGCTGGTGGGGATACGCGAAGCGTAAAGAATTTCTGTGGGTGTTCTCCGTGTAGCTCGATGAAAGGACAACGCGTCCTTTAAAATGATTGTTCATATTGGATGAACCCGTCGACGTTGCCACATGTTGCGGCCCAGGGTAATTCCGACCTCTCTCTCTCTAAGTGTTGTGTTTTCTCTCTCTCTCTCTCTCGCTCTCTCTCTCTCTCTCTCTCTCTCTTTCTCGCACTGCAACTTTCTTCTGCACGAGGTATAGGCCCATTTGCAAGGAAGGGCTCTCGAACAGAGTCCGTCTCTCTGTCTCTCTCTCTCTCTGCCTCTCTCTCTCTCTCTCTCCCTCTCGCTTTTTCTTTTGCGCTCTCGCTTTCGCTCGCTCGCTCTCTCTCGCTCTCTTTTGCTCGCTCTCGGGCAGGGACAGCATCAGACCCGGACAAGTCGAGGGTCTCTGAGATCCAGCGGCTCTGGAGGAGTATCGGGCGCCGCGGCCGCACCAGAGCGCCCTGGAACGCTCTGAGAGCGTTCTGGAACGCTCTGAACCGATCTATCAATGTCCTACGAGCATCGTCAAACATACACTGACACGCCGTGCAAAATTTCTGGCGCTCTTTTGTTGGAACACTTGTCAGAAAGCGCGCTACGTAGCGCCGACCACAGTCGGCGGTGGACAAACCTCCCTTTAGTAAACCTCCCCTTAGTGAAAACGGCCTGGGACCGAAACCGACGGCCCTGGACCCGCAAAAGTCACGGCTGCGACGCCCTCTCGCGAGCCGAAAACGGCCAATTCCTGAATCGACGTGTCAGGGTAGGAGATCTATCCACCTCCGATACAGAAGCACCGAAAACAATAACTGTCAGGTAAGGTCCGATGATTCCTGCAGCCCCGCGCCTCCATCCCCCGCGGGGTCGCAGGGGAGACGGCCGCGCCTCGAAGTCGCGCTTGAAGAAGGTGGCGGTCTCCCTGTTCACGCCCATGGCCCCGAACACGATGCTGAAGTTCTCCTGCTGCTGGCGCGCTCCGCGGGATCGAGGGTCCAGGTTCCAGGAACATCTGGGATTTCGGGCGCTCTCGGGGCCAGCCCGATGCCATGATCGTCAGGAGGATTTAAGCATTCATGCTCTGAACACAGTGTTGCATTATCGCCCACTCTGCCTGCAGAGCACTCAAGACGGCCCAAAAGGCCCCCAAGGCCGCTCCCAGACAGCTCCCGAGCCTTCCGACAGGGTCTCAAGCATGGGCCGAATGCGACTAAGTTACACATCCTTTGCCTGTGCATCTCCCTGCGACACTTCTTCCGCCACCGCCTCCTTCCCCGTCGTCGTTGTCGTCGTCACTCAATATGTTCACTCTCCTCGAGATTGCCGTGTGGACCTGGTCGCGGTCGTCGGCGAACGAATGGAAGGAGGATTACGGGACGGACGGGGTGGACGAGGAGGAGGATGGAGATGCGAGGAAGGAGGAAGGAGGAAACAAGAGGTAGGATGGAGGAGGAAGAGCGAAACGGATGGGGGAGGAGGGGCAAGGAGAAACGAGGTAGAATAAGGATGCATTGGGGACATGGGAAAAGGAGAGGACAATTTTTCGACGACGTGGGGCCAGGCGGGCGACGATGCGGTCATAGCCGCGATGCTGCTGGCGGGGCACGGTGCCCCAGCTAGAAAAAACAACAGAAAATGGCGATCCCCCCCCCCCCCCCCACTGCACTCAGCCGGGCGGCGTTGGGCAGGCGCCAAAAAACGTCGCGGCCGCTGCTGCCGCGGCCCCGTTTCAGGCACCGCACTTTCTGCCAGGCCCGACCGCAGCGGCCGCCCGGCGGGCACAGGCAGTCGATGCGGTGGGCGCCGGTTGCGCAACGTGCCGCGCAGGCACTCATCGGGCCAGGGAGCCCTGCTGTGCATCGGGCGGGCGGGGGTCCCGCCACGCTGCCCACGGCGCGTCCAAGGGGCGCGTGCCCTGGCTCGTCCGTTGTCGCGCTTGTCCCCTGGCGTTTTCCCTGCGCGTTCTGTGGCGCGTGCCTTGCCACGTCTCCTCTCTCGTCCCCTGGCGCATGCCCCAATGCGCTCCTGGCGCATCCCGTGGCGCGTCCCTGCGCCCTGCGCCCCGTGTCGTCTCGTCTTGATTCGGAACAGGATCGGATCATGAGCTCGAGCTGGTTGAGCGTCAGATATGCGGCCAGTCAGGTACACTGAAAATCCAAATCAATTCGGTCAGGATTCGGATGCCGAGGGATGCCGAGGGCGAATTGATCCACAATGGCATAAAAGAACAGCGTAGCTCATCGCGGCATGACACGCATAGTTTCCGTACAGCAGAGCACAGCACACTCCTTTGGCACCGTACATCACGATCGATACCATCAGCATTGCAATTTCCCGTCGCCCAATCGGGAACCTTGAACGTTGCTATGCCTCGCATTTCTAAATTTCATTCGGGGTTCGTGGTCGATCGTGTCCTGGAAAATGCCTGGGCCTAAGGCTCTCTTTTCGATGGTGAGCTCTCCCGGGTGCTATGTTGTGGGTGGGCCGGCCTGTCTTCGAAAAGAAATGTGGGCTCGCGGATTATATTTGAAGATGTCCCTAGCGAAGCATTGGTTTTTACATTCCAGTCAGCATTGGAAAAGAGGTAAACATGTTCGTAGTTCGTATGTTGCTGATGTCTCATGCGACTAGCGCATTCTGCCGAAATTGTGGACGATGTGTCTCGAGCGAGGCGCTTGTTCTGCCCCATAGATTGCCCTGGGGTTCGGTTGCCAGGCCCCCCTGCGCAGGACACTGCTAGCGTCGGGGGGCCCAGGCCGCCTTCTCACCCCGCCCCGGAGCTCCCTCTTCCTTGCGACGCCGCTCCCGCCGTCTGCCGCTCGCGCGCGCCCGGCGGCCGAAAGGCGCGGCCTCGAGCGCGGCCCCGCCTCCACGGGGCCCCCCGCGGTCGAGGACCCCTCCCCCGCCAAGACCCCGCCCCCGCCCGCGGCGGGGGGGCGAGGGCTCCGAGAGGACGGGACCCCCCCCGCCGCGGCGGGACCCACCGGGAGGGCGGGGGGGCGGAGACCGCTCCGAAGGCGCGCGGGAGGGCGGCGCGAGGGCCCCTCCTCGGCCCTCTGTGGGGCCCCCCCCGAGGCCCGGCCGCCGCTCCCGCCGAGGGGAGGCCCTCGCCCACCGAGGCGGCCGCAGAGTTCCCAGGCGGGGACGGCCGGGTCGCGAGGGGGGGCCCCCCCCGCGCGCGGGGAGGTGTGATGCGCCCTCGAGGCAGCAGCGCGGTGCGCGGGCGCCGCCTCCCGAGCTGCGCGCGGGCCGCCGAAGGGGCCCCGTCCTGCCGGGGCGCTGCCGCAGCTGCGCCAGCTCTGTCTGCGCGGCCTCGTCTGCGGCGTGCTGCCGTCCTCGGCGGCCGAGTCGCGGTGTTCTCTTGGTGGCCAGCATCGCCACGTCGAGCACGTGCTCCCTCACGTCCGCAGCCACGGCGCGGATCCCGAGATATTCATCGAAGTCTGTTTTTTTCGAGTAGCCGAGGTCGTCCGCCCCCTGGCCCTTTCGCCTGGTAGCCACGACGCCACCTCGCGAGGGCCCCGTCGTCCAAGAGCTCGGCGAAGAGGACAGCCCACGTCCGCGCGTTCGGCTTGGACCTGGATATTGCCAAGGCGCCCTTCAAGCTATCCGCCGGCCCCCTCATCTTGAGGGTCGTCCTCGGGTGGGACTCCCCGAACTTCAGGAATGGCTGCGCGTCAGGGAACGAGCCGCGGGGCCCAAGCGCCGCCTGGACCCCGCTCGGGTCGTCCGCCTGTACCTGCTTCCAAGGCGGGGGGGCCCTTTTTCCATAGCTGCCTGGGCGTGCTGATGATCACTTCGCGGGCTGCCACCCCGCGGAACTCCCCAGCCGCCTGGCCCACGCGATCCTTCGTAAATTACGCTGCGTCCGCGTTCCCTGAGCTACGATGCAATGCAAATTCTGGTGGGCCCGCACTCCCACTGCCACGATCACTAAATAATGAATCATGATGTGTCCGCTAACCCAAGGCCACGATCCCATGTAAATTACGCAGCGTCCGCGCTCCCAGGGCCACGACCCATCGTAATTTACGCTGGAGTCGCGCTCGCAGTGCCAAGATGCCTCGTGTACATTTAGGCTCGATTCCGGGTAAATTACGCAAGTATGCCGAAGGTATGCCGAAGATACTCTGAAGGTACGTCGGGCACAGTCGTTGACGGTACGAGGAAGTTACGCTGAAGGCACGCTGTGTCTGCATCGCTTTGAACATAAGAAGCGTTACTGAAGGCACGCCGAAAGTATGATGGAGGTACGCGCATCCAAAGCAGCGAAAGTACCCTGAAGGCACGCCGAAGGTAGACAGGAGCGGGGGGGGAGAGAGTAGAGACCCCCCACTCACTCCCCCAGACCGTCGCTCCCCCAGGCCCCGCGGACCTAGAAAAGGGGCTGCGCGCGACGCACCTCAAACACAAACGCGCCACGACAGGGCAGCGCTCCCAGAGCCGTGATCACTTGTAAATCGCGCTGCGCCCGCGTTCCCACGGCCGATACCCCCTAGTCTATCACGCCCCGTACGCGCTCCCGAAGCCACCATCCTTCGTAAATTACACTGCGTCCGCTCCCCCCCGGACAACGATCCATCGTAAATTACGCCGCGTCCACGCTCCGAGTGCCACGACCCTGGGCTAATAGCATTCAATTCGCGCTCCAAGTGCCACGATCCCTGGTAAATTATGCCGCGCCCGCGCATGTCAGGGCAACGATCGTAAATGACTGGGCTCGCGCTTCCAGCGCAACGATCCCTGGTAAAGTACGCTGGGTTCGCACTCCCAGGGCCATGGCCCCTTGTAAATTACACTGCGTTCACGCTCCCAGGGCCCCGGTCCCTCGTAAATTACGCTGCGCCCGCGCTGCCAAGGCAGCGATCCCTCATGAATTGCGCTGCGTCCGCGCTCCTAGTGCCGCGATCCCTCGTACATTACGCTGGGTTCGCGCTCCCAGGGCCACGGTCCTTCGTACACTAGACTTGATTCAGGCTCCCAGGGCCACGATCCCTCGTAGGTTACCAGCCCCTGGATTAAGAGGTCCGGATCGGCACTGCAGGCCCCCTTGCATCGTCGCTATCATTTGGGGCCGGGAGCTTCGACCCTCGATCGTTCCTGGACCTTCGATTCTGGACCGTGGCCTCCGAGATGACCCCGCGACAGGCCCGCGCGCCGAGCAACGGAAAGGCACCGCAAGGCGCCGAGCACCGGAAACGACAAGTGCTGTCTAGAATCGCCCACGCCGGGAGGTAGTCATACTGTTAAGTCGGGCCTGTCCCTCTACAGGAGGAATACTCAAAGATAGTCAAAAAATAGTCTGGGGACGATCTTTTGATGTTGTTTCCCCTTTGGGGGGGTATTTTTTGGGTACTTTGGATTTTTCGCCCAAAATCCCCCTGTGGGGGGACACGCCGGACTTAACCCTACTGACTTGCAGGACGTCCCATGCAGAAGCACACCTTTCAGGCAACAGAAAAAATGGGACCACATTTTTTGGGCGAGGAAATCCTGAGCGGAATCGCCAAGATCTGGTGGCCTCTGAAAATTTCCGGTCGTCTGAAAAGCGACCGGACATTTTTTGGGTGGAAGCATTGGGCGGAATGCGAATTTCTGGTCTTCTCCCCATTTGGCGATTATAATGTTAAAGGGGGTGAGGATGCATCTGCAACATTGTACCGGGGCCCCGGGGCCTAACGGGAGCCGAACATCAAAGCTTATTCCCCGACTTCTGAGGACCGGACTTTTTAATCCAGGGGGTTGTACGCTGTGTCCGCGCGCCCTGGGCCACGATCCATTTTACATCACGCCGGGTTCGCGCTCTCAGGGCTACGATCCCTAGTAAAACACGCTCTGGGTTCGCGCTCACAGGGCCACGATCCCTCGCAAATTACAACAGGATCCACCCTTCCACGGCCACGATGCCTCGTACATTACGCTGCGTCCGCGCTCCC